CGTCGCCCGGGCCCGCCTCGCCCGGGCCCGCCTCGCCCGGGCCCGCCTCGCCCGGGCCCGCCTCGCCCGGCTCCGCGTCCTCGGGCAGCAGCCACTGGCCGTTGACGACGACGTCCTGGAAGCAGCCCACGAAGAAGTTGGGCCCGTGCGTCAGCGTGGCGTACGACGACCCGTACGTGCCCAGCCGCGTCGACGGGAACGACGTCACCGACGAGTTGAACGCTTCGTTCTGGTTGATGGGGTAGATGGTCTGCTCCTCGTTGGCCGCCAGCACCAGGTGCGTCGTGTTTATGGTCACGAACACCTGAACACGAATAATAAGCTCGTTCTCTATCACACGGGACTCGCACTGTGAGTTTGACATTCGGTGTACGGAGTTACTGACAGACGTTGAGCTGTACCTTTTGCCACTGACTGTCGTTGAGGTTGGAGCCGATGAAGACTCCCTCCCACTTGTTGAGCAGGCTGGAGTGCAGGTTGAGCCTGCCGTTGGACAGTTCCAGGAAGAAGTACGTGAGGCCGCGGCCCATGGCCAGCAGGCCGTTGGCCAGCGTGGTCTTGAACCGGAACGAGATGTCGTAGCCCTCCTCGCGCGTCGTGTTCACCTCCGCGTAGCTGCTCTTCTCCAGTGACATGGTCGTGATCTGCGCCGTGAGCAGGTCGCGTGTTACCAGTGTACCAGTATGAGTATATATTATAACATAGACATTACGGAGGCACCGCATACCTTCTCGCAGGTGGTGCCGTAGTGGCCGTGGTTGCAGCTGCAGTTGAAGCGATGCTCGGTCTCGTCGTGCAGCCAGGGATGGCAGGTGCCGTTGTTTCGGCAGGGCTGGTCGCGGCACCCCTCCAGCACCACGGAGCAGTTCTGTCCGCCCCAGCCCTTCGAGCACAGGCAATAGTACGAAGCGCGCCCGTCGAAGCATTTACCTTGAACGCACGGCGTGTACCTGATCCGATTAAACAATGATTATTCAGAGTTCGGCGTCGACGTGAACGAGTAAAGACAAATAACAATAAATAGGTGTCCTGACCTCTGGCACTCGTCGATCTCGAGCTCGCAGTGTTCCCCCTCGTACCCGGCGAAGCAGTCGCAGGTGTAGCCGCCGATGCCGTCGATGCACTTGCCGTTCTCGCAGGGCGAGGACGCGCACTCGTCGATGTTGACCTCGCAGCGCGAGCCCGTCGTGCCCAGCACGCACACGCACTCGAACCTGCACACACGACACGTTACACACACACACACACACACACTCCAACCTGACACACACACACACACACCACACACACACACGACACGTTACACACACACACACACTCCAACCTGCACACGCGACACGACACGTTACACACACACACTCCAACCTGCGCACGCGACACGTTACACACACACACACACGCACTCGAACCTGCACACACGACACGTTACACACACACACACACTCCAACCTGCACACGCGACACGACACGTTACACACACACACTCCAACCTGCGCACGCGACACGTTACACACACACACACACGCACTCGAACCTGCACACACGACACGTTACACACACACACACACTCCAACCTGCACACGCGACACGACACGTTACACACACACACTCCAACCTGCGCACGCGACACGTTACACACACACACACACGCACTCGAACCTGCACACACGACACGTTACACACACACACACACTCCAACCTGCACACGCGACACGACACGTTACACACACACACTCCAACCTGCGCACGCGACACGTTACACACACACACACACGCACTCGAACCTGCACACACGACACGTTACACACACACACACACTCCAACCTGCACACGCGACACGACACGTTACACACACACACTCCAACCTGCGCACGCGACACGTTACACACACACACACACGCACTCGAACCTGCACACACGACACGTTACACACACACACACACTCCAACCTGCACACGCGACACGACACGTTACACACACACACTCCAACCTGCGCACGCGACACGTTACACACACACACACACGCACTCGAACCTGCACACACGACACGTTACACACACACACACACTCCAACCTGCACACGCGACACGACACGTTACACACACACACTCCAACCTGCGCACGCGACACGTTACACACACACACACACGCACTCGAACCTGCACACACGACACGTTACACACACACACACACTCCAACCTGCACACGCGACACGACACGTTACACACACACACTCCAACCTGCGCACGCGACACGTTACACACACACACACACGCACTCGAACCTGCACACACGACACGTTACACACACACACACACTCCAACCTGCACACGCGACACGACACGTTACACACACACACTCCAACCTGCGCACGCGACACGTTACACACACACACACACGCACTCGAACCTGCACACACGACACGTCACACACACACACACACTCACCCGTGGGCGGCGTCCAGCGAGAAGGGCTGGTAGAAGACGGGCGGCAGCAACATCTGCGGCTGCGGGCCCACCTGCAGGCGCGGGGCCCCCGGCGCCACGTACAGGGACGCGTTGGAGCGCTGCAGGCACACGCCGCCGTACTTGCACGGCTCGCTCTCGCACTCGTCGATGTCCACCTCGCAGTTCTTGCCTGCACAGACGCGACTCAGAGGTCAGTAGGCGGCGGGCGTGCAGCGCGGCGCGCTGGCGAGCACTGACCGGTGTAGGCGGGGTGGCAGTTGCAGTGGTAGTCGTTGACGTCGTCGAGGCAGGTGCCCCCGTTGCGGCAGGGCTGCGGCGCGCACTCGTCGATGTTGACGGCGCAGTCGTCCCCGGCGTACCCGGTGCCGCCGCACTCGCACGTGTAGCTGTTGAGTCCGTCCACGCAGCTGCCTCCGTGCTGGCACGGGCCCGACTGCGACACGAGACATACATGTCGTGGCATACATTTCTTCGCTTCATCGAATGCTTGGGGTACTATATGAAATGGTTGCACTGCAAGATTTGATACATTTTTTTTTTTAAGGGGGGCAAATCATCGAATGACTGCTCCCGCCTGAGTGAGGCGGAAGGGAGTGTCAGACTCTTACTGACTAAAAACCACCCCGTTCCTTGAGGCGCGCGCGGAACGCGACGCGCCATATGCTCGGGAGATTTGATACATTACGTTTCATAAAATGCAACCATGCCATAAAATATTCAAGCATTGCATGAAGTGAGAAAATCGATTTGGCGGATGATCACGAACCACGACATACTCAAGGTCATACTTTCACGTACTACCCGTAACAATGTTATTTTTGGTAGACTTTAAAGATTAAAACTTCTTTATAAATGTACAAATACTTAGTTACTCTTACTATTCATGCGTACAGTCAACGAGGTTGAGCAAGTAATGAAGTAGTAAGAACAGAAGCATGGCGGTGTCGCGCCGAGCTCACCTCGCAGTCGTCGATGTCTATCTCGCAGTTGGGCCCGGTGAGTCCGTCCTGGCACAGACACGAGTAGCTCGCCACGCCGTCCACGCATGTGGACCCCGCGGCGCACGGGTTCTTCTCACACTCATTAATGTTGATGGAGCAATCCTTGCCTGCAAAGTTTGTTTACGATTCTATAACATAGAGAACGAATTATAGAATACATACACATCCATGATATTCCTCTAGCCACCTTCGAAGCCTTCCATGCAGGTACACTCGTAATTATTCTCGAGGTTCTGGCAGGAGCCGCCATTCTTGCACGGCGACGACAGGCACTCATCGATGTCTTGCTCGCAACTGTCGCCCGTATAGCCTGCACGGCAACACATACATTTACATAATTATGAATTGGCTCATATTTAGGACAGATTTACAAATTGGTGATATCCTGCAACTCACCGGGTCTGCAATAGCACTCGTACGATCCAGGGACGTTAACGCATACTCCGTGGTTACATATTTTCGGCATTATTGCACATTCGTCTATATCCAATTCACAAAAACGCCCTGAAAAAGAAGTGGTTATTAAATTTCTTATGAACCTAATTACTTTAATTCTTCTTCTCTTACCTTTAATGAACAAAAGCATGAGGAATGATTTAAATAACATCTTTCATATAAAACAAACTATACATAGTTTCGAAATCTCGAAAGTTGAATTAGTCACAAATTGAAATATTTTTCACTCAGTTTATGTAAAATGAAGTGCATTGATCAACAGCAGTAGTGCATCTGAATAACTAATCGAGCTATGCTGTACATATTACATGTGAAATAAGTATTCTTACGCCTTAACATTATACATATAAGTATAAAGTATATAAGCATATGGCCTATTAATTATAAAAAAACAAAAATAAAAAAATATAGAAACAAAATCAAACGGTACATGTTTATTTTTATATTTATTTATTATAATTTTATGTTTATTAATTATGTGTTTATATTTATTATTTTAATAAATGCATAACTAAAAATACACCTTCACTTTCAGCAATCCGAATGAACGAAACGTTTAATGAAACCGGTCCTAAAATGGCAACATTATCTTACGTATGACTTTGACAGCAGACATGACATTTCTGCTGTCTTTTGTCACTGTCACATGTCAGTCATGATAGGTTTTGTCAAATTATGATAAACGCTGTAATTGTTGTTCCTATTCATTCGTGCTTTCGTGTGCTAAAATGAAAACTTGTTTTGTTGAATTAAGACACTAAAATTCTTTAATCAATGTATATTTAATATATAAGTAGTAATTCATTCGGCAGTTTAGCATAGTTTAGCATCGTATGGCTTCATACGATGCTCTATTCGATGCGATATGTTTTGAGGTTATGTCGGAGACAAGCAGTTTTACAAAACAAACGTATAACGCAAGCTCGAGCTATAACAAACGTTGAAACAGAACAAAAATCAAACAAAAATGATGATACGAAACACTATCCCGAGTTGTTGCAGCAATACAAAGAAAAAATAATTTTCAACTCGTACTTAGAAAACGATAAGCTGAAATTAGGATACTTTAAATATCACAAGAAAGTTCTTAAACAAGCAAAAGCCACGTTAAAGAAAGAATTTCAAGAGAAGAGTTTACCCCCACTCCCAGTGGCATTACAGTACTATGTAGACAAAGACAAATTACTTTCAGTTGAAAACACAACCAACCAAGTATTAGAACCTGACAAAGAGCTGCAGCTACCCTTTGGGTCGTCTACTAAAATAAAATATGATGAAAAGTCAGAGATTCCATCACAACCAGTTTCTAATACTAAGGAAGTAACATCATCTCCACCACAGCCTGAACAAGTATTTGATAGATCAGACATAAATAAATGGATGACAAATTATGAGTACTTTGATGACAGCAAAATGTTATCTGAAGACTTGGAAGATGGATCTGAAGTTCAAAGTGACTGGTCCAAGTACTATGGTACTCCTGATCCTACAGCCCGAGTGAGTAAAGTGGCGTGTGGGGGCTGCGGTGCTCTGCTTCACTGTAGCGACCCTGCCATCCCAGGGTACTTGCCGAGTGAGATCTACAAGGGCAGAGTAGTAGAGGAACTCAAGACTATGGAGTGCCAAAGATGTCATTTCCTCAAGGAGTACAACATTGCACTGGATGTCAGTGTTGAGCCAGAAGAGTATGAGAAATTATTGGAATCCATCAGGTAAACAAGACATTGGGTTAGACATTTTTTAATGCCACTGAACTATGCTCTGGCACTGATATTTTATAATTGTAACTGACTGACTTTTATTCATTTCAGAAAAGTAAAATCTCTAGTTCTACTAATGGTTGATTTACTTGACTTTCCCTGCTCAATATGGCCGGGCATTGTGGACATCATAGGAACAGACAGACCCATAATACTTGTTGCTAATAAGGTAAGGTTAAGATAATAAGTGAGTTTTGAAGTAAAGTTGGTTTGGTTGTTTGTCAATTCTCAGACATCTTTTATGTGTTATAGGTGGACTTGCTGCCTGGTGACAGTATTGGATATTTGAAACGTGTTAAAGAATCTCTTATGACGCAGATAAAAAACTCGAAGCTAAATGACGCGAACATAAAGCATGTTGCTCTGATATCAGCTAAAACAGGTTATGGAGTAGAAGAGCTCATCTCAGCCATGTTCAAATTGTGGCTGTATAAGGGCGACGTGTTTCTTGTGGGCTGCACCAATGTCGGCAAGAGCTCCTTGTTCAATGCCTTGCTGCAGTCTGACTACTGCAAGGTGCATGCTGTGGACATCATCAAACGTGCCACTGTCAGTCGCTGGCCAGGCACAACACTAAATCTACTCAAATTCCCTATTAACAGACCTTCAGGTTGGAAAATATACCAAAGAACACGAAGATTGCAATCTGAAGCTAAACTCTACAAAATTGAAAAAGAAATTAGAAATGCTCAGTTGCATGGGAAAACACCTGAGGAGGCTCCCGCCTTGATTGGACATATAGGGCGGTCGTTCTCTGAACTCTATGACATTGACAAAATTGATTTAGAAAAACAAGGAATGACAGTTTTCAATGAAAGGAATAAAATATTTGCAAAGAGCAAATGGTTGTATGACACCCCTGGAGTGATCCACCCTGATCAAGTGCTGTCTCTCCTTACCACTGAGGAATTGCTTGTAACCATTCCTAAACAATTGATCAAACCACAGACCTACTACATATATGAAGGTTGCACGTTATTTATCGGCGGTCTGGCTCGGGTAGACCTCGTCGACAGTGCGGAGCCTTGTCGCTTCACTATATTTTGTTCAGAGAGCTTGCCAATAACTGTAACAAAGACTGAGGATGCTGACGACGTGTACGACAAGTTTGTGGGCACGGAGCTGTTTGCAGCGCCCAGCGGGGGACGAGCGAGACTCAGCAGTTGGCCAGGCCTGCAGCATGCTGCGGACTTACTGGAGTTTACTGGGGAAGGACCCAAGTTGCTCTGTGGGGATATTGTGTTGTCTTCGGTGGCTTGGGTTGGAGTCACAACTAAGAAGGGAACAAGTTGTAAAGTGCGCGCGTGGACACCGGAGAGAAGAGGAATCTATAGACGGCAACCTTCGGTTCTGCCATACTCTATTAATTTGAAGGGCAAAAGGTTGCGCGACACGCCAGCGTATTTAGTCGGAAGAGTGTTCTCTGATGAAGAATGAAGAGAATCAGCACCAATATTGTACTTTTAACATTACATGTTTATTACTTGTGTAATAAAGATTATTAAATTAAGTTTACAACATGTTTTATTGGAAATGGCATGGTTTGTAATGGTAACGGGTAGGGTAGTTGCCTCAGAAATTCATTTATTGATACCTGCGCTAATTATTATTTTTACCTGATGTTATTAGCTGTAAACTATAAAGCCTTGTTCGCACTGTGCTAGTATTTTAGTCGAGTAGCGAGTTTTTAGTAGCTCCCTCTCGCTTCGATTTTGGGACAGAAGCTTCGATCAACAATAACAACTAGATATCGGGTCGGCGCAAGAAAATCGTCTCGACAAATAAGAGCTCACTTGAGAAGTGAGCTCTTATTTTGTTTAGTACGCTCTAAACACGGCCAACGTAATCACGTCTCACGATGCCGCAGTGCGTAATTGCAAGTTGCAAAAATAATAACCGAAAAAGCAGTATAACGGCCGGAGTGTCTTACTTTCGATAAGTACATAAAGTACAAGCTTTTAAACTAGTAAATAATATCAAATTAGACTAAATTACCAATTGTATAGGTAGCGTCATCCTCGCTAATTATACTAGTAGTAGGCACTAATCTGGGCACGCTGTCACAATATTTAAAGATGAACACATTCATAAAAAAAAAATATTTATACTCTATGGTCATCTCACTGGCAACATCATTGTACTTCTTTGTGCACGACCTGTCACGTCGTACCCTGGAAAATTTTTCAATTTAATTTGGTGATTTTCCTACTAAATGGGTCGAAAACGTCGCAAGCAGATAGGAAAACTGATGGAGTGTATGCAGGAATTGGATAATTGGGCGAAACCGGCGAGAGGACGCATTCGTTGTCGTCAGTTTGGTAAGTTTTTTCTTGTAGGTACTTACACCACATTGTGGGGCGTTTTCCAATAGCTTCCACAAGCGGATAGCCTTGAGAATGATTGTGTACGCAACATACACACTTGAAACGTACCATAAGAGCCCTCAGGAGAGGTGAGCCATTGGTTATACGTTTTCTATATACCTAGATTAAACCACAAGAGCCTTCACGAGAGGTCGGCCGTTGGTTACACGTTTACTATAGATCGAAACCACAAGAGCCTTCACGAGAGGTTGGCCGTTGGTTACATGTTTACTATAGATCGAACCACAAGAGCCTTCACGAGAGGTTGGCCGTTGGTTACATGTTTACTGTAGATCGAACCACAAGAGCCTTCACGAGAGGTTGGCCGTTGGTAACTCTACTATAGAATTAACCACAAGAGCTTTCACGAGAGGTTAGCCATTGGTTTACTTGACTTTGGAACGAACCACAAGAGCTTTCACGAGAGGTCAGCCGTTGGTTACTTGACTTTGAAGCAAACCACAAGAGCTTTCACGAGAGGTTAGCCACGGGTTTAAGTCACATTTAGTCAAACATTTCCAACTGCAATCCTAGAGCTTTCACGAGAGGTTAGCCGTGGATCATTTAAACTACCTTGCAGTTAGAAACTTAAAATCAGTTCGCTTTGCCTCAGAAGAACATGAAGCCATTCCAGTTGAAGCCGCTCACCATGGCATGGCACCGAAGCCAATCAACATGAGTTGGAAACTACTCCTATAGTCTCGCTCCAGTCAGTAAATATACTCCGGAGCAATTGCTACCTATGCTTATGGGAAATGGGACATTTCCTTAGCCAGCTATTCCATAGTGTTGCATGTTGGACAAAGCCATTCTTATCAAATGATTACACTTATTTTCCCTTTTCATAATTATTATAACCTAATTCCTCCCAATGTCTCAAATAAATGAGGAGGGGAGGAGGTGCCACTAAATAAAGATGGGATTG